CATACAAAACAAATTGACTGTTCCATATTCAGTCTTAAATGATAAAAAAAAATCTTTAATACCTATCTCCAAAGGTCCCAACTTGATATATCAACAAGAAAATGTTAATGAATCTCAGAAAGAAATTCTTTCTATGCTGAAATCAATCCAAGAGACAATTGTTTTATTTCACGATGAGACTAAAAATAACGCAAATGAGATAAAAGAACAATTTTCTAACCTAAACTTACAAATCCAGACAATGACTGCAAAGAAGGAACTAATAACCCAGAAAACAGAAGGAAAATTAGAAGAAACGGATCCAAAGATGGAGGACCTAAAGCATGGGTGTCAAACTCGCCACGTCACGTGTTGTGTCGCAACATATCGTGACTCTTTTTCCATTGTCGGCAATGTGATCAGTGCGGCTTCAGTATGATGAAACCGGCCCACAGATCGGCAGTTTGACACCTGTGACCTAAAGGAAGGAATTAACAGACAGACAAATGAAAAATCAGAAGATGCAGTGATAACACTGGAAATGGAAGAGATATCACACTTGTCAAGAACTCAGAACACATTTGAGGATAAGGAAGAAGAGCTGATCGAATGGATGATAAAGCAGTTAGGAGAAATGCTGAATATTGACAAACAAGAAATGAAAAGAAAAACTGAAGGAGAAGAATGGAAGCTGTTTAATGAATATAAGTGGGTTGAGTGTTCTTCCAAAAACACTTCAATCAAATTCTTTTCCTCATTCCAAACAATATATACAAAAACAGAAGAAGAATTTTTTGATGATTTAAATGTATTGACTTGGAAAGTTATTTGGGAAAGGAAGAAGTTAGAGTAACACTGAAGAAAATAGAGGTTTTGACCTGTTGATGGGATATTATACTACTTAACAGATGTTTGAATATGGCTAAGAAAATAGCTGTTAGAAATAAAAGTATTATTATAATTAGAACTGTTAGAAATAAAAGTATTATTGTTAGAACTGTTAGAAATAAAAGTATTATTATAATTAGAAGTTTAGGATTTGTAACTAGAATATTATACTTTGTTATGTGATGGGAAATATGAAAATTCTAAAAAGGTTTGAATAAGGGAAGCTTTTGGTTACCCAAATATAATTTATCATGAGAAAAGTATAAGCAATAGAGATATTTTGAACATTGATGGGAAATTAACATTTTAAAAAAGCAGGAAAATGATGATATTGATTGAATAAATGGATTTTAAGTGCAAATGCAATTGAAATATATTTTGGCTAGAAAAGATACTATAAATTGATACTATCAATATTATGTATAATACCAGAAAAATGTGATGAATATGTCTATATTTAATTGTATATGTATTAACAGTAACAAGAATTGTATTTGCCCAATATGGAAAAATGCATACTACTGAAATAAGAGAGGACCAAGGAAGCCCTAGATCAGTGATGGCGAACCTATGGCACGGGTGCCAGAGGCGGCACTCAGAGCCCTCTCTGTGGGCACGCACGCATCGCCCCAGTCCTAGGCCTTCAGTTGGGTTTTATAAAACCTTTTCGCTTTAGGCCTCCGCCACTATGTACACAAAAAAAAGAGGTTCAATCAATTTCAACTTCTCGGAGGGAAAAAAAAAGATCTTGCAAAATTGGAATTGATTGATTGAACATTTTAGTCCCACCCAGTCTGCCGTTACCACCGCAGCCATGCCCACCCAATGGGCCACAGCCACCCGGCACCCGACGATGCATAAGTGGGTTTTTGGTGGCAGTTTGGGCACTCGGTCTCTAAAAGGTTCGCCATCACTGCCCTAGATGGTGTAATATTGGACTAGACTGAAAAAGTTATTATGTACACTGAATTACTAATAGACCCAGACAACACGTTGCTTATTAAGTACTTATGATTGTAAAATTAGAAAATTAATAAAATATTTATAATTAAAAATACTAATTTATAAGTAGTGTTTTTTGAATAAATATGGTAGATTTGGTTGTTTCAATAGTTGCAAATTACACAAAAACAGGAAAATACACAACATATATAATGCATTGTACACATGATACCATCAGCAGCATAGGTGCTTATTGAATTTTCCAAGCTTAGGACAAAAGGGCATTTTTTTTTTACCTTGTAAAATACAATTTTAAACTTGAAAATTACTTTTTTTTTAGTCAGCAAGGAACCAATGGCGAAGCTAAACTGCAGTCACTGATAAGAATCAATACTCAAAAAGATGGGGGGTACAGAAAGCTCATTTAATAGTAAAGGAAATAATTAATTATAAGACAAATGCATGATATAAAATTGTATGCAAGGCAATGTAGTTCGTGGAAGACTTTCAAAGACTTTCGGTAAATGACATTTCCCTTTGCTCTTTATTGTTTGCATAAATTGCTTTTCAGTATTCTAATAAAATAGTTCTGGCACTTTTAAAATGTAGAATGCTTACTGTGCAGCCTTGAGAAGGATAAAGTGCCAGATTATAGTGCTTAGTTGGTGTGAGCACAGGCAGGGATCAATTTTTAAGCACACTGTCATTTAATTTATTTAGAATACTTAATGATTTACCCTGCGCATTTATTAGTAACCATAAACAAATTGCGTTTTTGTTATGCATATTTAAAATCCATCTGCTGCACATTATAGCCAGGAAGAAAACTTTCCTTACCAAGTTTTCAAGAATCTTATTCTCTTCCTATGGCTATGTATCACCTCTATCTATGTCACTGTGTCAGGTACTTAAGGGCAGAATTAATGTTACAGGGACAGGAGAGAGCCATGATGAAGAGAATGGTAATGCAAAAAGCAAGGTCACTGTGCGCCTCTTGGCTGCTTTTTTACCTAAGGTTATTTGGGGAGCCAAGAACTTTTTGCACCAAGTTTTGTTTGGTATAATTGGAAATCATTGCAACAATTTTTGACAATCATGTTTTAGAAAAGAATATTGGACCACACACTTTTTCATTTCATTTGTAACAGTGCATTTCTTCTAGTGATTCCAAAGTAACTCATTTGTGACAAACCTGCCATAATGGAAAGATGTAGCGAGTAAGAATGAAAATTAAGTGGCAACCAAGTATAACAGCTGAACCAAAGAAAAAAAGCGAATTAATCAGTTACAATTTGGCAGGCCAACCAGTATAATATAGTGGTTAATAACTGATTAGAATTATGGAAGCCTGTTTCAGATTCTCCCTCAACCATGGAAGTCCTCTGAATGACTTCAGGACACTTGCTTTTTAAAATCCAACTTACTTCATAGAACTCTTGTTGTGGACATGAAATTAAAATAGATAATTTGCTTTGAGATCTCAGAGAAAAGGAGAGATGCTTGCAATCTATTAGTCCAATACATCAGAAAATTTGGAAGACAATTTGTCTGAAGAGCAACAAAGATCATTAGGGGACTGGAGGCTAAAACATATAAAGAACGGTTGCTGGAATTGGGTATGTCTAGTTTAATGAAGAGAAGGACTAGGGGTGACATGATAGCAGTGTTCCAATATCTCAGAGGTTGCCACAAAGAAGAGAGAGTCAAGCTATTGTCCAAAGCACCTGAAGGCAGGACAAGAAGCAATGGATGGAAACTAATCAAAGAGAGAAGCAACCTAGAACTAAGGAGAAATTTCCTGATGATTAGAACAATTAATCAATGGAACAACCTGCCTCCAGAAGCGGTGAATGCTCCAACATTGGAAGTTTTTAAGAAGAGACTGGACAGGGGTTGGACTAGATGACTAGATTTTTCAGGAGGACATTGTATCTTTTCTTCATACATTTAGACTAAAAGATTTTCAGCCATTTATGAAGAAAATATTAGTAATACTATCTATTTAAAACCAATAAACTGTCATTCATTTCATTTCCACATTACATTCTGTTTTGATAGCCCAGTGTATGTAAGGTGACATTGCTTAGTGTCAAAACAAAATTCAAACTTATCTTTTCACCTTCTGCAATATGAGAATCTTTTGTTTTCTTAAGTATAGAATAAAGCAGTGCTCACTCAGAATGTTTTATTTCTTTTCTATTTATAAACCTTTTCCCCATCTAAATAGCTTTTTGTGGTTGGAAATCCCTTGATTCGTGTTTGTCTGAGACTAACAAGCAGCATATTTTAGGCTTTGATTTAGCGAGCTTATACCACTAATTAATATTATTTCTTATGAAAGTCACAATACTGTTTCTCTGTCAAAAGGAAGAAGACCTAAATTTTCACTTCCATTAAGCATGTTGTTTCTGATATAAGTATCTTTTCAAGAAAATGTGCATTCATTCTTGGTTTATTTAGAGTCATTAGTGAAATGTAAAAGGAAAAGTAATAAATACCTGTTGCTGTCATTCAATTTATGACACGTAGGAGTCTATTCTATCACAAATCCCATTCAGGTTAATAAACATACCTGAGGAGAAGGACTGTTTTGTATAATTGCCAAAATTTGCCTAGAAACAACTTTTGTAAATTTATGAACATATTTGAGAAATCAAGGGTATTTTTATAATGCAGTTCATTGTATATGTATATAATCTTAATGCCACAAGATTTCCATGTGGAAATATATTCATAGGATAATCAGATGAACAAATATATCTAAGTATTACTTTATATAACTATCACAATGTGCCTAGAAACCACTTTTGTAAATTTATCAATTTAAATGCGAAATCAAGGATTTTTTTTACAATGCTGTTCAGTATTACATGGAAATATCTTTAATGCCATCAAGAATTCAATGCAGAAATATATTTGTGGGTTTCTAGCCTTAATGAAAAAATATATTTTGTACCGATTTACCTGAAAGGCCCACTGAATTTAATATGGCTTACTGCCGAATATTATACAATTGTAAATTTCAGCTGGTTTTTTTGAAAATACATATTGGACTGAATTTTTTGGCTAAAATGTAGCTGAATACCAAAGCAGGATTATCTGAAAAGTCTTGCCACAAAACCAGTGACAATAGTGAAGCAGGATTTTTAAGCTAATAATTTATCCTACAGGAGCAACATTCTAAATCTTACCATACATTTGCGACCATCCACCCCTGTTAAATCCTCTTCAAATTCTGTCCCTATTTCAAAGTCCATGATGAAATTTTTAAAACTGCTTAGGGTTTTAATGATCATATGGTTTCCAACCTGAATAATCTCTTTATCAGGTTTGAGTCTACTGGCTATTTTTCTCACTGCAATATTTACATCTGTAAGAAAAAAAGAGAGGCTAGAACAATTTATAAAATTAAATTTGAGGAAACACTGAAAACTGCTGCTGTTTAAATCTAAAATTCAAAATAGGTTAATAGTAATTCATGCTTCCTTTAAAAATAAGATTACCAGATCTGGCCTGAAAAAAATCCAGACAATTTCTAGATGAAGACAGAGAAAACTGGCTCTTTGCTGACTAAGTGATCAACCAGATTTTTCTGTCCCAGATCTGGTTTTTTATTCTTTAATGTGTGGAAATTTATGATTTAAATTAGGAAAAAAATCTTCTAATTTTAAACCTGCCCTTCCAAATCATTAAACTTTATACCTTATGCCATATATGGAATAAAGTTCTAGAATAAAATTCTGATAATTTTATTCTGGATAAATTTAAAATACTGCAATTGTATGTACTTTATGGATTTTATTTCTTTAAAAATTGCTTCAGTTCCTATTTAGTCACAAGAGCAATATCAATAAAAAAACTAGCTGCTAAGAATATTTTCATGCAAATTGCATATCTAATAAAATCGTATAATTCAACCTGAGGCTCAAATAAAAGAAAAAAGTGAAAAAAAAATCTTACCTAGAGCTTTCAAATACTCCTCAAAATTCTCATTACTGAGCATTTTCCAATAACCATTAAAATCTGCAGGCATAGTCCTATTTGTTTTCTAGTTAAAAGTCAAAGCTTTTGTCTAGTGTTTTAATTCTGCACCATCCAGCTCAGTCCCTTTTCTAGAAGCAAGTTTGAGCTCTTAGTTTATTTTATCTGCTGGTCTAGCAGTACAGCTAAGCTAGTTCCTTTAAGCTGATTAGCATTGAAGTGTTATTTTTAGGTTCTTCTACAAAGCTGAACATTTTTGCTTGCGGGGTAGTTTGATTTCAATGGAGTATGTCACTCCCCTTCTACAGGACAGTTGTAAGGTCACTGATTATCTGGACAGTTTTTTTTAACAATGGCTGATTTTTGCTTTCAAATGACTAAACAAAAAAGATGTCTTTTACTGATAGTGATAAATTCTAGCCACTGTTTTGAGTGGGTATTTTATTTGACCTAATAAGGATGATGCAGTATTATAGTCTTTAAAAAACTGATTCCCAACTGCAAAAAGAAGGTACACCACTAAAAAGGAATTGTAATTTTTTAATGAATAACCAAATTTGTTCAACAAACCATGCTTAATGCAGTAATTCCTTAGTGATATAAGATGGCAGATATTAACTAGCTAGTTAATAGATGGCTGAAAATGTGCCAGGCATTACTCATTCAACCTTGTATTATTGGACTAACACCCAGCATCTCTAGCAGAAGTAAGCATTTTATTAATCAGAACACGTTTTCAGCTAAGAGAATGTGAAGTCTTTTCAGGCTGAGGAATAAGCAGTACTTCACAGAAACCCATTAACTCCTGTGCAAGTAAGCAAGTAAAGAAAAAATACATGTTGTACTGCATTATTCAACAATATGCTGTTGCTTGAAAGGAATCACATTTGACTGTAAAGTCTTCTCATCACTTAGAAATACAACAGGGAAATTTTAACAATCCTATTGCAGAACAAATGCTTTTAAGTGTAGCATGAATTCAAGATTAAATTAGTTGAATTAATTAATATGGAATATTTCTTGTTATGTCTACTGAATTATATCAAGATAAATCATGTGTTGTTAATGTTGTGTATTCATTCCAAAGTCTTCAAGACTGAGCTCAGTTATCAAAACAGTTTATTGAATTTCTGATTCCTTTTATTTAAATCTTGAATCATTAGGTTTTAATACTCACACCCACACCCACACCATGAGTTGATATGACTTCTTAAAAGAAATGCTTGTAAGACAACCTTGAAATATAATAGTACAAACAAATGGTCTAACTCTAACATGTTCAGAATAACATGTACCCTTTAGCTTCAAAGATGCAGAATCTGAATCCAGGCCTCAATATCAAAAGTCCTGTACTGTAGCTATAGGGTTGGAAAAGGCAATCTTCCTTTATCAGATGTTTATTTACTTCCTTTCTTTTTCTGTTCATCCTCAAAACAAAAAGCAATGTTATTTGACAATGGCAAAGCTCAGACTAGCTATTTTAAGAAAGTGCATTGAAATTAGTTTCCGGAGCAAAGAAAAGTTTTATCAGAAACAACTAGCATACAAAATATTTTTTTGTATAAAATTGTATAGAAACCAACATTTCTTTAAGCCTGAATTATATTCTGCCATCAGAAGACTGTGGAAGTATAGCAAAATAAATATTCTTCAGAATTCTGACTGATATTGTCTCCTTCTAATAAGAGGGTTGAAAATGTTTCTGTAAATGGTTTCCTTTTGTTAAGCAGGTCAAAGGACAAAGGACAGGAAAAAAAGCAATAAAAAGTAGGTTTGCTGCTTGAAAAGAAATGCTAGTTCCAGCATACTTAAGACAATGTTTGTGCTGCTACCAGTTAGAATCAAGGAACGGGCAAATTTCTCCATAGCTTGCTGACTCCACCACTGAAAGGGAATATGCCCTTCAGCTAATCAACATCTTTGATTGGCTCTGAGGAACCCAACTTTCACTGTTGAAGCATATATTCAAGTTTTAGGCAACATTTTGCTTGAATAGCTTCCTGAAGTCCTATAAGATGGAGCAGCATGCTACATTTTTTGTCTTCTGACCTTTGTACTCATGGCTAAAATACTTATATATCTGAAAATGAACTAATTTTCTTTGAATTTATTTGAAGGACTAGTGAAATGCCCATAGATAATAGATAGTAATTAACCAAAACTATGTAGCTTTTTTCTTTAATGTTTAGAAAATGTGAATGATGTAATGGCATAAATATAACCAGAGAAGTCTTACAAATCTAGTGTTGACAAGCAGAATTGTTTCTTCTACTCTAACATGATAGTGGCTGACAATTTAATGTTAAAATAAATGCATTAAGAGCATTATGGCACTTGGTATGATGAAAGGTTAGAGAAATAATTCAAGATGTATAAAAAAAACTCACACTGAAATGTTAACTAAAACATTTTCTTCCAAAACAAAGCAAAATACCTTTTATACTAACAAATTCTTACTTTACTATATTTCAATTAGGCCAAGGCTTCATTAAAAATATTATGTTTCCAATGTGTACACAAGACTCCAATACTTTCAAGTATTAGTATCATGAAATCAGGTGAGATTAAATTGCTTTATTTATTCACTTTAATACAGGAACAGCATCTGTCATGAATCTTGATTGTTTATGTAGAGTGGGGAAATCCAGTTTTAAATGCAATCTCTAGAAATGTTCACATTGTTGTATGCAAATATTGCATTTAGTGGATTTCTTCCAAATTATCTCCAATAGGTCTCACACAGGCACACACAAACACTTCTGTCAATAGAAAGTAAACCAAGTAGTGGGAGCTAAAACTGATGGCAGAAAAAGGCCCAATGGTCCATTGAGTCTGCCCTCTGAGTGTTTTGTTTGTTTGTCTGGGTTCACTTTCTTTTTAATACTTTAATTGTTAATTATTTTTATTTCATTATTTTTAGTCTATTTTTTTAAATTTTTGTCAGATGATAAACATGTATTTATCCCAAGCATCCCAAAATAGTGATTGACCCACTATCTCTGCTGGAAGTTGGTTCCAATTTTCCACTACTCTTTGTATGAAGTAATAGTTTCTAACATTACTTTTGAACTCCTGTCAGTTTGAGATTATGTCCCAGGTTCTTGATTTTCGCTTAATAGAGGTAGTCTTCAACTTAAAACAGTTCGTTTAGTGACCATTTGAAGTTACAATGGCACTAAAAAAACTTGACTTAATAATAATTGCAGCAGCCCCATGGTCATGTGATCAAAATTCAGATGCTTGGCAACTGACTCATATTTATGATAGTTGCAGTATCCTGAGGTTATATGATCAACTTTTATGAACTTCTGACAAATAAAATGTATGGGAAAGTCAAATTCATTTGACAACCAGGTTACTAACTTAACAACTGCAGTGATTCACTTAACAACTGTGGCAAGAAAGGTCATAAAATTCATTTAACAACTGTCTCGCTTAGCAACAGAAAATTTGGGCTCAATTTAAGTCATAAGTTGAAGACTACTTGTATTGAAACATTTTCCTTCTAGAACCTTATTCACACTCTTAATATATTTAAAGGTTTCAATCATGTCCCCCCCCTTTCCCTTCTATCGTCCAAACTGTACATATTCAGTTCATCCAATCTCTCCTGATATGTTTTGCCCCTCAGACTTTGCACCTTTTTTGTTGCCCGTCTTTGGACTCAGTCAATCTTATCAATATCTTTTTTTAAGTGAAGTAAACAGCATGAACACTTTAAAGGAATACGCCATTTTCTTTAATTTATTTCATTCAATCTTTTCAATATATATATTGTGTTGCTTAATGTAAGAAATAACAGAGTCTGGAATCAAGTATTTCACACTTTGTCCTTTGCGCAAGGCACACCTTATGCTCGTAGCACTGATTTCATTTAGAACCCACTCTTTTACTAAGTGGATATTATGCTGGCAGTTATTTAAAAACTCTAAGTTAGTTATATACTGAGAAGGATCATGGCCAGCACGACTAACACAAACCAATCCAAACCTTTCCACTATTTCTATAATATGTTCTTTTTTCCAGAGGTTAGGTGTTTGAAATGTCTTCAGAACATCAGCTCCGCAGAGAAGTTTTAGCTCTGGAACAACTGCAAGAATGATGAGAGTATATTGTGAGAAATATTATTTTTATTGTTGGTTTTCTTTGTTGACATGCAGTCTTTGTTTAAGAATAAATATTAAAACTCAGTCCACCAATCTTTCTACTTTCCAAAAACCAGATGGCTACAAAGACCTTCTTAATTTTTACTATTTCCAATTTCAAATGAGAATTGTATACCTCCAAACTCTTTCTTGTATACCTCCAAACTTTTCTTCACATAAAATGTGCATTCTCAGTGAATCTTCATCAGTGCTGATCAAATAATATACTGAAGAACAATCTAATGACATTTCCCATTTATTTATTGAAAACAATTTTACATATGTACAGAGTTACGTAGTAGCAGAATAGCTACTTTAATTAGTAGAGATAATTTAATTATTGAAGCAGGTGTTATGTCATGTCATTACATTGACACTCTCATTTCTCCAACTAGGCCTTAGATGCCTATCAGTAGGTTATTTCACAAACAATCAAGGACATAAAGTTAGGAAAAGGTGCTAAGGTGCATTGCTTTTCCTATACCCAATTTTCCACATACTCATCCCAAGTTAAGATTTAGGAACAGCAACCAAATCTTAGTTGTACTGCCCCTTGTATTCTAATGTTTTCCTTTTTTAAAGCACTAGAAATAAAGCCTAAGGTACCTTTTTCATGAATTCTTTACATTCAGTATTATAACTTATTCTTCTCACTATATATTAGAACTCAGGTACTTTCTAAGTTTATATGCTCTTCCTTTCACTTTCTAATATGCTTATATAAAAAGTACTGCTCCCACAGGAGTACCTTGACCATGCCTTAGCAGTGCTGCTGCTTTCACATAGTTTATTGTGTGTGGGGGGGAGGGTTCAAGATAGCAATTGGTGGCTCCCTGCTGTTCCATCCCCACCTATCTGGCATCATTTACTTTTAGGAAAACCATCCACCAGTTTTTCTCTTGAGCACATGATAGGCAAAGGCTGGGCTCTGGGCTCTTCCTGTTTCTTCTTTCTCTGTTCTTCTTGTATTATAAACAGCCAATCAGCTATTTATCTTTTATTCTTGACAAATCAGTCCTTCAGTCCTCTCTCTCCTTCCTTCCTTCCTTCCTTCCTTCCTTCCTTCCTTCCTTCCTTCCTCCCTCCCTCCCTCCCTCCCTCCCTTCCTAGTCTGCCATAAGTATACTTGACAGCTTACTATTTCTGTGATACAAATAGTCTTATTTTTTGAAAACTGCTACACTAAAGAGCCCTACTAAGCCATTGCTTTTTTATTCCAGCATTGGTGTTGAACTTTGGTGTCGCTACATTGCGTTGACTTCTCCCAGCCTGCCTTTCTTAACTTTGTTTTCCAGAACAGTTTCGATTTGTTTTCCAAAACTGTCTGAATACATTTTTTTCAGGGTCACTGATACCCATAGGAATGACAAGCCATTCTTCTTTATCATGCTATTTAGACATGTCTCTGGATGATACATAATATCCACAACTTTATCAGTCAGATAAGTCACCATGCACATACACACCTTTCATGAAACACTTAGAATCCGTGCTTCTAATTTTTAAATAGCCCATAAGCAAAAAATTATTTACTTTCTGTGAAATATCATCGGTATGACAGTATTTGGGTTCATCATCCAAGGATGATGGAAAAATTCTTTTATCAAAATGTCCTTCTTCCTGTAACCCCTTTTCTTTAGTGCTAATCATCTACCATTTGGGAATGCACTCACATCCTATACAGCAGTGATGGCGAACCTTTTAGAGACCGAGTGCCCAAACTGCAACCAAAACCCACTTATTTATCGCAAAGTGCCAGGGCTGCATCAGCATTGTGGTGTCCCAGGGGGGGGCAGTGGGGTGTGTGTGGCCCACTGGGTGGCATGGATGCAGTGGTCACGGCAGACTAGGTGAGCAGTCCCAGTCCCAGCTAGGATTGCATGCCTCCCCCCATCTCTGCTGGGCCTGGGTAGCTGTGACGCCGATGGGGATCCAGCTTTCCACACTCGGGGTGGTTTTTTGCCTGCTGGCCCTGGGCATGCTCTACCACCTCTATGTGGGGCTTCCTAGCCGACCACTTCACCTCCTTTATGCTGGGCGGGCCTGCAGCTCTGTGCGGCGGCCTAATGGACCTGCGCAAACAGTTGGAGGCTATGGTAGGTACCAAGGTGTGCAAGGGGAATGAGCTCCATCCACGGGCCAAGGGCAAGACCCTCGAGCGACGGCGCTCATGCCCACAGAAAGGGCTCTGAGTGCCGCCTCTGCACGCATGCCATAGGTTCGCCAACACTGCTATACAGTCTTGTCTATGTTCATTTGTTTTTCTAGCTTAGCTACCAAGGTTTCAAGGGGACTAACTTCTTACATGATAGCCAAGAGCAAACAGTACTGAACACAAACCCAGCTTATGTGTAATATAGGCAGGTAGTAATATATTTCACACTTTTCGCTTGATGCAGTTCAGTAAATTGTAAAACAGCCCCTGTAGCACTGGCTTTGTACTTTTCAACAAGTTAGTAGATGCTTTGTTTTATTCTTTAGGAATTGTCCTAAATGTTTGTTCTGTTACTCTTTTACAATTTGGAGTTTGTAGTCCTGGATTCTTCACACAGATACTAAATTCATTTTGATGCTCACTTCTGGAGGCAGTAGGTCAGTATCTTCACCCTCTTCCTGTTTGCCCTCCTTATCAAGTTACTAAAGTAATGAAAAGTTCTGATTTTCCTTTCTTTTTCCAATTTCTTTTTCTTTTGTTATAAGAATATAAACTGGGCCTTGCTGATTCAGACCATTCTACAGTTGGATTTCAAAGTGGCCAAAGAAGTCTGCTAGTCTCCTAGCAGTTGGCCTTCAGAGGCCACTAGACTGCCATCAAGGCTAATAGCTATTGATCCCCTGACTTTCATGAATTGATCCAACTCTTTTCTGAGGTCACCAAGCTGCTAGCTTGGCAGTCAATTTCAAATTTTAATTATGTGTTGTTTAACAATATTATTTCTGTTTGTCTGTACCAATTCTTCCAGGATCCAGTTTCATTGGTTTTATTTTGGGAAGAGGAAAACAGCTTCTCCTTGTCTACTTCACTTGCACTACGCATAATTTTGTATGCCTTAATCATGTGTCCTCTCATTTGCCCAAATGTTGCAACCTTTCCTTGTAGGGAAGCTGCTCCAGCCCCTTCATAAATCTTATCTGCCCCTCCTCTGAACTTTCTATACCTCTACTATACCATTTTTGAGCTGTACCCAGTAGGCCAAATGTAGACACAATACTGATTTATATAAGGGCATTATGATACTGACATATTTTTTTACAATGGATGCCCAAAGAAATATTTGATGGGGCTATTAAAGGTTTTTTGAGAATTAGTTAGTTAACTTTTTATTGTATAAAACTGTCATTTTTACTGCTATATCTGCTATACCGTTTTATCTGAAGAATGGGATAAAGGTTCCTTATATAAAACGAATATTGAGTTAAGCTCCTGATTTCTTGAAAGTTATTGCTTGAAATTTTTTGTCTTGCAATAGGTCATTAGTCCACCTAAACCATAATGCATCATGGCTTCTCTAGAAACCCTTTTCCAATATTCATTGGCTATAACATTTTATATGGAAATGTCAGAATCTAATCCTTCTGAATTATACTTAATTGCATGCAGGATGTTTTCACATAGGTACATGATTAGAAAAGCTCCTTAGAAATTGCATCTTATATTAGCCTAAGGTACCCCCTAGTTATGGATTTTTAATTTCAATTGCAATGAATTCATTGAGACTAAACATATTAGTTGGGTTTATATTTTGAAAATAAACAGATCACTTCAAATGTACTAATATTATCTCTTTTTTTAAAACAAGAAGGAAAAATACAAAATCAGGAAAGAGAGATTAGGAGGTATCACAGGCATAAATCAGGATATCTACTAAAGACTATATGGCAGGTTTCTCCTGAGTAAACAAAATTAAGATCTTTGAGAGGTGACATTAAATGACATGATGGATAAAAGATGTATTTCCTGACAGAATAAAACTTGTGAGAAAAACAGGGATCTCTTTAAAAAAAAAATCAAATATTTATATGTAGCCAAAACTGAACAACTAAATGGCTTTTCAAAGAAGGCTGACAAAAGAATCAACTTCAATAGGAAGAAAAGTGAGCATATAATATCCTTCGATTTTTGAGAGCTACTGTTAAATAACGATCTTGCACTTTCACAACAGATAATAGCTTTTGCTGAAGTCAAGTGCCTATAATAATACTCCAACTCTTGACCCTTTGTTTTCTACACTTTTCACTGGTGTTATCAAAATCAATACTGATAGTGCAAAAGTTATTATAACACTCCCTAAGACCTTTCCAGAAGGTTAGCCAGGTTAGACAATGTAAAGATCACCAACAGCAGGATAGAAACAGCTAGATTTAACACTCAACAAGATCTTACCAAGAGGCAGAGCTCTCAGACAACCATGGAAACAACATATAACTTATATGGCTGAGTTGAAAGTAAAATAGATATTCCATCTTAAAGAAATAACTTGTATATAATGCTAAATTAGTGATCCTAATTAGAAATGTGAAGAACTACAATAGTAATTTGAAGAAAAAAAGATATAAAACAATAAGAATCCTTAAAAATGCCTGGGTAGGTTTTTTTTTCCTTTTTGAAGGCAAACTGCAAATAACTGAAATCTTCTCAAGCTGTTAAACTAAGAATGTAGAAATAATGTTTTCTCAATAGGCTCAAAAATTAACTTTGAAGACTGTGTCATATCTAAGAAAGCAAAATTTTACAACACCTCAATTCTAACTTTTCCAGCTAGCAAAATACATTGTTGGGTAGAGCTGTGCATAATCAAAATACCAATATTTTTAAAAACTGGTCCTGACATGTTTGATACCCAACAATTACTTTACCCATATATACAATCTCCAGCTTTTAAAGCAGGCAGTCTAAATATGAATGACTGAATTGGTAAAAGCAAGCATAGATAAATCATATAGACATTTTAAACAAGTTGGGCTCCTCCTACATTTTGAGATTCAGCTCCTGTTACTTTTTTACTGTATTTAATCTATAGAACAGCATCATTTTACTGAATATGTTTACTGAATAGGTTTCAGAGACTGAAATATGGAATGTTTTCTTTAGCCAGATGAATTCAAATGTTCAAGTTTTTTTCAGAAGGAATCAGGTTATTCATAGAACCTTAACATAAGCTTAGAACAGCTTTATCTTTTTTTCAAGGAAAGTTAAAGAATATATGAAGTTATACTTTATAATTTGGTCAAAACCTGTCAAAAGACCCTTTTTCTGCCTTCGAAGGCATTCTAGGACAGACATTGTGTGACTTGAACATTAGCTTTCATTTGTCATTATCTTGATTTTATGATTATTGGACAGATCTCTTACATTTTATTTTTGCCTCCAATGCAAAATATAACTTGGTTATTACACTGTTGTTTAGCCTTCATATTTTGATGCAGTTACTATCTTCTAATTATCTGGCTTAATCTTCAAGTACTACATATTCTTTACATGCTTTCATTGGTTTTCTATTGTGAACCATAGAGTAGAAGAAAAAGGTGACTGTACATTGTACTAGGACTACTTTCTATGACCCACAACACAATTATTAATAAAAGGTACAAGACATACAGAAATATTTAAAATCAAGCAAGCCAATCAACAGCATGCATGGGATTAAATATAATTTAGGAGTAATAATTTTGAAATCACTGGTTGCTTGCAGGTAGATGAAGTAGGACTTTACTGTGAGCTGGATCCAAAGAGAAAAGGTGATTCAGATAGTGTGATAATACAAGCTACAACTCACAATTTGTCTTAGAATCTAGATCAAAGTACAACTCTTCTGAAAAACTTTTCACCTATAGCATTTTATGTGCTTTCCAAGAAGATATTATTTGAAGGAACTGCTTGTCCCCAGTTATGTCATCCCATCTTATTAAATCTAGCAGGAAAGTCATGTTCCAGTTATTAGTAAGTGCCATCTGATGGAGCCCAAGAAGAGAGAATTTTCTGTCATACTGTCTACTCTCTGAAGCATAATCCCTCAGCTATTAAATTGGCCCCAATCCTGCTGGCTTTCAAGATTGTATCATCCAGCTTGGGAATTTGGATGCACAAGCATAGCCATCCATGGATGTATTAATCGTTTTTTTGAACCCTGCCATGTTTTCCCGAAAATAAGACCCAGTCTTATATTTTTTGGCCTCCCAAAAAAAGGCACTGGGGTAAGGCTTATTATTTTCATGTACAAAAGGCAGAGAGCACGGGGGCCAACAGGGAGCACTGCTACCTCTGGCCCTGCCCTCTTCGTCCCACTGTGTGTTTGCCTGTGGCCGCAACGAGCCAAACTCTCAGCGCACCTGGTCTCTGCCGCTCTGTCTGCTGGCCCTGCTGCTGCTGGGACATTTCTCAGCCACATCATGTGCCATTGGCTGCCCGTGCTACATCCGGCCTTGCGGGGCTCTTTGCCCTCCTGCCTGCACTGCTCTGGGATGCCCTGCTGGGCTGCTCCTGCCTGGCATGGGGCGAGTTGGCTCAGATCTTCTGTTTGACCTCTGGAGCACCTCCCTGCCGCCAGCTTGTCAGGACCCCTTCGCCAGCAGCCACTGGTGAAACTGCACCACCTGCGCCTCTGCCTTTGGGCTGAGCACCAGCCTGCACACCTGTTAGGTGCTGCAGGCACTGGGCTACAGGCTGAGCATGCCACTCTTCGGGCGCTGCAGCTCTTGTATGAGGCGGACATGGGTGGGCCCTGGCTGCTTTTGGCCTCTACCTCACCTGCAGCTACTCTGCCACCAGTTGCTGCCGCTGACTCACCTTCCACCCAGCCTGACCCACCCCAGCCCATCCGGCTGATGCTGCCACCATGAGGTAAGGTAAGGCAGGTGGCAGACACCTGCCGAAGCCGGTCAGGGTAAAATCCGAAAGTGGCCAGGGGCAGCCCCATGTCTGCCTTGAATAGCTGGCATGAGAACTGCAGCACCCGCCAGGGCCCAAAGAGCATGGAGTTGCTACTGCCCCTGCAGAGCTGGAGAGATTGCCACACCTTCTTCCCCACCCAGATGCCCTCGCCTCCCTCAATCGTTTTTTCACTAACTTGCCTTTCAGCTGCATCGTGTTTTTCTGTCCGTTTCTTAGCCACCACCGCGTGTTTGTTGGACTAAAAAGAAAAAGTTCAGACCTTCCAACTTCTCACACAAAAAAAGATATCGTGAAGTTGGAAGGTCTGATTGAACTTTTTTTTTTAGTCCCATAAAAACTCAGTGGTGGCTGAAAAACGGATGGAGAAACACGATGCAGCTGAAAGGCTAAGAAAAAAAATACTTGGGGGAGGCTCAGCCTGTAGCCCAGCATCTGCAGCACTGAATAGGTGTGAAGGCTGGCATTCAAACCAAAGGCAGAGGCGCAGTTTCACTGGAAGATCTGGGCCAACTCGCCCCACGCCATGCAGGAGCAGCCCAGCAGGGCGGCCCAGAGCAGTGTGGCCAGGAGGGAAAGAGCCCCTGCAAGACCAGAAGCAGCACGGGCAGCCACTTGGGCAGATGGCACCCAACACAGCCGAGAAATATCCCAGCAGTAGCAGGGCCAGCAGGCAGAGTGGGCAGAGACCAGGGCGCACTGAGAGCTTGGCCTCGGGTGCTGCGAAAACAACAGTGGAGAGGTGAACAGAGCCAAGGTCAGGCAGGGCAGCGGCAGGTTGCACAGCAGCAACATGGCCAGAGCAAGGAGCTGCTCCTGCCAGCCTGGCTGAAGAGCAGCCTTGCCAGGGTGCCACCGGCCCCCAGCAGTAACAGGTTCAACAGGCCCAGCAGCCCAGCCTTGGGGCCAGCCAGGAGACAATGGCAGATTTTGAAATCAATCCGGGGAAGAATAGATGGCTGAGGAGGCACTTTCTTCCCTTTCAGTGCCTTTTTCAGTCTCTTAAAGAGCCAAGTGGCAATTGCTTGGGGAGAAGGTGGGGGGAGGCGAAGAAATCTTCCTCCCCTCCCATAGACGCTCCTGACATCAGTTGGCCACGCCCCCATCTGGCTGACGGTCCTACCATAGCTAGGACTTATTTTCAGGATAGGGCTTATATTAAGCCCTCCCCCCAAAATCAAGCTAGGGCTTACTTTCGGGGTAGGCTTATTTGGGGGGAAATACGTAGATGCTGATTATTTGAATATACTTTTAACAACACTGCATTTGCCTTTCAAAAGAGGAACAATAAGGGCTGGAGGACTGCTTTCCAAGGTCTGACCATCTGACAACTCACATTGCAGAGGGAACAGAATTATGAAAGAATGGAATGGAATAGAATTATTTGAAGGGATCTTGAAGGTCTTCTAGTCCAGCCCCCTGCTCAAGCAGGAGAATCTATACCATTTCAGACAAGTGACTGTCCAGTCTCTTCTTAAAAATCTCCAGTGATAGAGTGCCCATGATTTCTGAAGGCAAGCTGTTCCACTAGTTAATTGTCCTCATTGTTAGGAAGTTTCTCCTTAATTCCAGGTTGCTTCTCTCTTTGATCAATTTCCAACCATTGTTTCTTGTCTTGCCTTCTGGTGCTTTGGAGAATAGTTTGACTTCCTCTTCTTTGTGGCAGCCCCTCAAATACTGGAATACTGCTATCATGTACCCCTATTTCTTCTTTTTTTTTAGACTAGCCAATGCTAGTCTATGTATGCATTGTTTCTATAATTTTATTTTATATTTTTTAAAATTGTTGTTAGCTATTCAGATTCATGAATTTGACATGGGTGCCCATATAAATTGAATCAATCAATCAGCATCAAGCTAGAAAGCAGAAGATTGTGAATTCAGATCCCATCTGAGCCATGAAAGCCAATTGGGTGACTTCGGGCCAATCACTCTCCTTCAGCCCAACCCACTTCACAGGGTTGTTGTGGAGAAAAAAGGAAGAGAAAGGTATGTTGGATATGTTCACCACCTTGAGTAAATTGTAATAATAAAAAAGATGGGATACAAAATAAATAAAGACACACATCCAATAGTTCATACAGTACCTATATGCATAGATGTATATAAGTAGGATATTCTCACATTATTTGAGCTAATTTAAATATTTCATTTAGGTCTTATTGCACTACTATGCATCTTTATGCACACTCATTAGAACATGAAAAAAATACACACAAAGGGCTTTTCCATTGGGAATCTAATAAAGGCAGAAATGTCAAATGCTTGGGATCAGCACTCTGCAGGGAGAAGGAAGATATTCATGATATTAGCTTCACCCTCCCATTTTGCCCTTCCATACATGCACATTTGAACATGGAAAGCTCCATTATAGTTGGTTCCTTGAGGTGATATTTTGACCATTAGCTCTAGCTAACAAAATTTTGAATGTCTAATGTCAGCCATGCATGTCTACTAAAATAACAGGCTTTTGTCACTTAACAAGAAGTACTACTTAAGTTACAGCATAAACAAACCTGTCACTGATGATCCGACTGATGAGTCAGTTGCTTCTTTGGACCAAGTATTTTCTCTACACAGTTTTCTGCTATTGTGTAATTTAAGTAGCTCTTTGTAATGACGCCTGTACAAAATAAAGGTCTCAATATAAGGGAATTCTCTCAGGGATATATTTTGTGAATATCTTCTATTAGCACTTTCTAAAATTCAATCGGCTTGTTGCCAACTTCAGGTCAGAATTTAATGACAGGGTTGGAGAATTTGCCAGATTAATTTTGTGCATTGCAAGATGTGTGCGAACAGTACTTTACACTCTTGTTCAATTGGAAAATCTATTGCCCATTTGTTATTTATATAATCTCCTAGGAGATAGATGACATAAAATAGTATTTTGTTAGATCACTTAATAAAATAAATAAAATGATTTTCATGTATTACTTTAAAAGTTGCAATAAAATCATCTAAGCCAATTAAGTAATTGTTAACAAATGCTTATAATTTAAACCAGATGCCAAATATCTGTGGGCTCATGTCAAGCTTTGTGGGGAATGTTGACACTGTACCAAAAAAGCACAAGAGAGTTTCCCAAATTCTAAGAGTTCCCTTAAATACCCAGCTTCCCAAAAGGCAATGACTAAAAAATAATATTTCTGTTCCCATCTATTCTGGGAAGTATGAGGACCTGGGCTGCAAAAGGAAAACTATTTGTCCCTCTAATGCTTTCAACATTATGTAACATTACTGTGTTTTAAATTATTTAATTTCTAATCCAACTTTCTGCCCTAATGAGTACTTGCAAATTTCAAAACAAAATAGATTATTACAAAGAGCATGTTAAAATTAACAGTACCTTAGGTACTAAAATATTAAGTCCTATTACTTAATATTAGTCTATCTAATTTGATATCATGAATGGATGAAAAATCTAGTACTACCTGTTCAGAGAAAATACTATGCAATTTGAGATTTTGAGAATGTAAAACATCTTCTCTGGAATAATGAATAATTAAACTGGGAAAATATGTTTTGATGTTTTGAATAACTTCATATCTAAAATGTAAATTGATGTATTATTTAATCTTATTTAAAAACCATTTGAGTTCTATACACATTACAGTACTTACTATATTCTCTTATTGTGCTGGGTACTATTTAATTTATTTTTTGACACTGATTTTGTTAATCAGCTATTTTTATTGTTATGTTGAGACATTTTTGGGGACAGAAATATGGTATGAAATGACTAATACTACTCTAAGTTGTAAATGGTATATTAGAATACTTGTGTTGAATCTTTGTACACTGTCCAGAATCACTTGTGTTAGACTGGCAACCATATGAATCATATCAGCATGTGTTAATCACTTGTGTTAGACTGGCAACCATATCAAATCATATCAGCAAGTGCTGGTTAAGTGCAATTTTCTGGATATCCAACCATATTATATTTGCCTACCTTGTTTTTTCCCCCTTTTCTTATTATATTTTCTACATTTCTTTAAATGTGCAAAAATTGCAGATATCTATATCTTAAAAAAATGAGCCAAATGAGTCCCTGAAATAGAAGGTGCTGTAAGGTCCTTCAGTTCAGGAACTTAGTAATTGCTGTCTACACAAGAACTACATGGCTTACTAAGGGCTAAACGAAAGGGATTGTTAGATCTGAGAGCAGTGGAGGAACTAATAGGAATGGAACAGATGGAAATCAAGCAGGTCAGGACTTTTCAAAGGCCTTGGCCATGAATTAAGCAACTTCCCTTGTGCTGACAGAAGTATGACAGACAGCAGTGGAATTCCTGCATGTAAATCAAATCATTTTTCCCAAGCAAACATATGTTATGGTACTAGGAAAAAACCAGCAAGGATTACAAGTAATTAGAAAAAAATCCTTGTTATCAGAGTATAAGTTATATATAATTGACCTACATGGTTTCTTATAGAAATTTAGAATGAAAAAATCTGAGAATATACACAATCTTGCATTTTCAGTAATCAAATGAATTTTAGAACTATCTTCTATTTTGGGACCTAGATATGATAGCAACAAAATACTAAACTTAGGCATTCTCTTGTGTCAATGGAAATGTCCTTATACAGGTAGTCCTCGAGTTACGAGTGTAATGGAGCCTTTCATAACTCGAAAACCCATAGAATGAATCTCGTACCTTGAACGAGATCAGTCCCTTGTCCGTTAAAATGTACGTGGCTTGTTAAGCAAACATGAGGTATCTCAGGGTGCGGAAGGCCATGGAGGGCCTAGTGATGGAACAGGCCCCCAAGGCCTCCCCGACCCACTAAGATACTGCATGCTTTCCCCTTCCTTCCTGCCGCACCGGACTCACTTGGAAAATATCCGTCTTCTCTCTGCCCCGGTTCCTGCTGCCGCCTGGATCTGAAGCCGGGGAGGCTTCCGCAGCCCTCCCATGACCCGATTCAGACTCTGGAGGCCTTTTCCAGGCTACTGCCACCCAGATTTAAGGCCAGGGAACACTTCCGTGCCCCCCCACAGCCCGATCCAGGGGCATTTTCCAGGCCGCTGCCGCCCAAATTTGAGTCTGGGAAATGCTTTCGTGTCCCCCCACGGCCTGATCCAGGCAGCGGCAGCCTGGAAAAGGCCTCCCAGGGGGGCATGGAAGCGTTCCCTGGACTCAAATCCGGGGAGGGGCAGCAGCCTGAAAAAGGCCTCTGGAGCCTGTATCAGGACGTGGAAGCGTCCTCTGGCCTCTGATCCAAGCCGCGGCAGCCTGGAAAAGGTCTCCAGACCTCAGATCCAGCCTCCGGCAGCATGTGCAAGCATCCCAGCTTTGGTTCCGTTCTGTTTCAGAGAACAGAGGCCTAAGGTACCATGAGATCACACGAGATCAGTAGCGTGATCTTGTGTTACTTTAGGCCTCCATTCTCTGCAAATGCACCGAAGGCCTGGAGCAGCCAAGAAAGCGAAGGATCTCGATCTTCGCAGGGTGAGTATTGAAGGTCTGGTGCCTAGGGAGATGCGGGGCGGGGGTGGGGAGGGAGAGAATAACCAGGGTGAATGTTGCAGAGCCACTGCAGTCGCTTGTAAGGGCGAACGACTGCCGTGGTGCTGCAATATTCGTAACTTCGGGACTTGCTCGTAAGCACTGGGGGGCGCTCATCACATAACTTTTAACAAGCGTTAAGTGAACGCTCGTAACTCGGGGATTACCTGTAGTCAACTCTTAAAGAATAAGAATTTAAAAAAATGAAATGTCTGATTGGAGGAGGGAGTGTTAAAAGTGGTGAAAGTTATTAGTCTATCTTCTATATATAAGAGGACTCTTACTTACAATCTGTTTTATTCCAAGCAAAATAAAGTTTGCTACCTCCTTTGCTTGTGGATTATATCTTTTACTAAAATATTTGATTAAATTCTACTATCAGTGCCAGAAACTATCAGTAATATTACCTTAGTACTATGAGAGTCTCAGTCCACTGATTTTGCTCACTTTCCCAAGGATCCACTCTGATCCAGTCGGATGTCTCAACTGCAAGCCGAACCATTGCAATCCGATGCTTTGCTGCAACCAATCCTTCCTTCCCATAGTTGTCACTAACTGGTGAAATTATACCTTCTATCACATTGTATTTTCCTTGATAGAGAAAAAAAATACACACAATCCAATGTTTTATATCTTTTATTGTAATAGTGATAAATGACAGACTGAGAAATTCTTCACTGTGTGAACAATAAAAATGATTGTTCCTTCTTTTCTGCAATTAAACTTTTGAAAGCTCTATTACTGAAGAATTAAGTTATTTATTTATTTATTTATTTAAAATATCTATAGCCACCCATCTTATAATGAATTCTGGGGTGCTCCAAGCAACAGTTAAAATAGCATCTTCAGCAACTTTTGCAATGCTAGGATGATTACAATTTGCCCCCACAAGAAAATGTATGTATGTATGTAATGTATGTGTACATACACACACACACACACATACACACACCCCTATCTACGTATATATTAAAATGACAAATAGTACCTTAATAAAGTTTAACAAGCAATCTACCACAAAAACACGTTTATCCACAAGCATTTGGGGGGGAAAGCCAGGCTTCAGTGCTCCTTGGAAGGCTAGGATGGTGGGGACCTGCCAAACCTCAGGGAGAAGGGTGTTTCACAGAGCAGGGGTTGCCATGGAAAAGGCATGATCCTCATATCTTCAAATAAGACAATATTTAAGAGACGGATTAGGAGCATGCCCACCATATCCAATCTGTTAGGACAAGATGACCTCATTAGGGAGAGGTGGTCCTGCAGATAACCTGGCCCTGTGACTTTACTAAAAAGAAGAGCAGATAATCATAAATCACTCTGCAAATGGAAATATTTCTCATGTATAATGTATAGGATTAGAACAATTTAAGATTGGGTTAATGATTAATTCAAATATGTACCAGAACTATAAGAACAGCTTCAGGATAGCCTAACTAATGTGCACTTTATCAAATAACTATTTGCTTCTTGGTAGAATGCATTCTTGTTAAATTCTTGTACTTATTATAAAGTACTGTGCTTTAAAATGTTTTCTGCAAATCTTTATAATAGTGTTAGCCAGTGAAAAAAGTAATTATCACAGATTTTTAGACCATGTGTGAAGAGCTACAAGGGACTAATTTAATTAATATTATGTGCTGCCATCTCTCTATCTATATGAGTGACAATGTTAATTAAAAGGTAGAGTCAAGAATCTTCAAAAATGTACTGAAATATAATTAATGTCTACTTCAAGGCAGATGCTAAAGTTCACAATTCAGATAAATAAAAGTCACTGTGATGTTTAATAACACTTTTTTTCCTATAAGTTATAAAATTGGATAAACAGCAATATATAGAGGAAAACCAAACTCCCTGAAATAATATTCCTGTTTCCCCAAATTGAGCTGAAGTTACATTTCAAGTTAGATAAATCTAAGTCATAAAATAAATATTAGATTTTAGCCTACTTTTCTTCCATGACTTAAAACAGCAGATCTTCCTACCAATGTTTCTACAATAACAGTTGTGATATTATTCAGGTCAGAGCGATTTCGCCAAACTTATTTATAGAGTTATTTTTTGAGGCTTTGCAACATATATTTGTAGAAATGAACCATTCCTCTTTGAATCATTAAAGTAGCTGCAGCTTTTGAGATGTTCACATAGCTATTTGGAAAACTGTCCTTGTCTGTCTCACTTTACTTTTGCTCCTTTGCTTTTTGCTTCACTTGTCATGTTTAACACACAAGGCAAAATGTGTTTTGAATGCTTTGCATAGTCCTACTTAACATTAGTCTATATATATATATATATATATAATCTTTCCATCAAGTCACTGAAGTGTACAATTTAAAATAATCCTCATTTAACAACCCACTCATTCAGTGACCATTTGGTCACTGAACAAGTAATACTTATGACTGGATCTTATATATATGACTGGTGCAGTATGCCTGCAGTCATATGATAGCGATCTGTGATCTTTCCTGTCAGCTTCTCACATGCAAAGTCAATGAAGCAAGAAGTTGGAAGTCACATGAGGTCCTTGCTTAATGACCCAGTCGGGTACTCACTTAATAATGGCAAGTGTGATTGCTGTCATTAAGCAGCACAATCACATGGTTTTTGAACTTACGAGTGTATTGCTTAACAACCAAGTTCTTGGTCCCAATTATCATTGGTAATTGAGGACTACTGTACTGAAATTTTTCTCATCTTAATTAACATTTTCTTCAGGAATGCATGGTATCAGCTTACTATTCTGCTGCCTTCCATTTATATCCCAAATTAACGCACTCACACAAAAAGGCTATCCAGCAATTTTCTCAAAGGGCTGATATTCCTTGAGTATTGATGGCTAGGGCTTCCTGACCTTTTAATTTAGGCTGCATTGGTAGCTATAGTGGAACATAGCAAAGAGAAAACAAAAACATTGTTAAATTAACTATCCTCCTTTAAGGGGCAAACCAAGTAAAGCAATGGGACAAACGTTGCAGTAGTAATAGGAGATAATTAAGCAGCTATTACAAATATAACCAGGAGTTTTACATAAAAGACCAAGAAGAATTTACAACATGGAGAAATGGGCAATACAAATTTCATTTCATAAGTTTCACTGAGTTCAATCAAAGATAATACTTAAGAAAGTGAGCCTAGCCTACAGCATAAATGTTTATTTGATTTATTTGCCACTCATTGCAAAGCAATTTCAGGTAGCTAAGCAATAAAAACACTGTATAATAACAAATAACAAAGATGATAAAAGCACATAAAAACAGAAACAAAGGAAACAATGGCATTTAATGGTAAATCAGAACAAAATTACACAGCTCATCAGTTCAACCACTTCCAAATCCTCATGACATTTCTCCTGGTGAAATAGTGTTTCAAAGAGCATGTGCTACAATAGAGAAGGCACACTTCCCAAGTCCTACTAAATCAGGGGTCCCCAATACCCAGTCCATGGACTGGTACTGGGCCGTGGCATGCCAGCAACAGGGCCGCACAAACAAGCAAAGCCCCATCCATGGGATGCAGGCAGCACACAAAACCATGTCCCCTCTGGTCCACAGAAAAACCTCTCTCCACATAACCAGTCCCTGGTGCCCAAGAGGTTGGTGACCTCCGCACTAAATGACACTCTTCAAGCAACAAGATGAGCAACATGCAGATCTAATGATATTGTTAGAAACAATTGGAGACATGCTCTCCCTCAAATATCCTAGCCTATTTTTAAATGGTTTTACTGGTGACAACCAGCATTTGAATTGCACCTCAAAAGCTATTGGAAGCTAATTCTGCTCATGTAACAAAAGTGTAACATGGATATATTGAAGAATACCCATAATTTCTCACACCATTGCATTTTATACTAGTTGCAAGTTCCGGATATTCTTTAAGGGCAGCCATATGTATATCATATTACAATAATCTACTCATAAGCATGAGTGTCTTGTGTGCAGTGCCTCTCAATACAGGACACTGAGACAGACCTAACAGCATTATTTAGTCATCTAAAGCCAGAGAAGTACAGCTGGATGTCATCAACACACATATTTTCCTTAAAATGGGAAGGCTGGAGATATTCTAGAAGTCTAGTGATGGTTTTTTGAGGAAAGAGTGCACAATAAAGCAAGAAGCATACTATTAGAGCTTTAGATGCAATTTCTGGAGACCGACCTTCCATTATTAAGCAGTTTTTTAAAAAGAAAGCTAAACGAAGTATAAACACAACATAAAGGCAGTGGTGGGATTCAGCCAGTTCGCACCACTTCGGCAGAACCAGTAGCTAATTTTTTGTTGCCCAGGCCCAGAATGGACTTCCAGAAGTGGCATCCACGCAGAGAACCGGTTGTTCACATATTTGAATCCCACCACTGCATAAAGGGTTTTAAATTTATGTTTACAGAAGCCTCTGCATTTCAGAAGTTTGAGGATGATTCTGTTGCAAGACTAAAGAGAGTTATTAAATGAAGCTCTAATCTTTTCTTTAGATTACATGATAATATCTTACCATGCAGTATTTAATTTTTCCAAGTTTCATTCATTCTGTAATGGGAAATAAAAAAAATGATGCCAGCAATTGCTATGACATTAATACATTCTAACACCAACCTGGCACCTGGGATCAGGCATTTTCTTTACATAGCTGTTGGTTTAAATAGAATGTAATGGTATTCTCAAGAATAGAATCCTTGAGAAAATGAGGAAGAGAATAGTAGTACACAGACCATTTCCTTTCTGTTACCTGAAATCTCAAAAGATGTTTAGAATCTGTTTGAGGATTAAAGGGCAATGGTTGTTATCAGAATTACATCTTGCCGCTAGAAAAGCTTTTTTATGTCTATTTAGTGACAATATGTGCCATCCTTTTGATTACAATATAAACATATCAAAATAATACACGAAAAACAAAAAGATAAGAATCTAAATGTTTCTTGGGGTTCCATTGGTAATAATATTTTCCATTATCATCTAATTTTGGGAGATTTTAGTATTCTAAATATGGTCTTGCAATATTGTGTCTGTGTGTGTCTATGTGTCTGTCCAAAAATGTTAATATATCTACAAGAGCTCATATAAATATATGGCATTCAGAATGTGTCAAGCACTAGCTAAATCCATTCTTGTATTTCTATATTAGACATTGTAAGATTATTCTTCATCAATTGAATTAGATATTAAGGTAGTGTTGTAATATTGAATTACATAGCTACATAGCTTTTAAATTAAAGAAGTCTTCAATATGAACAAGAATCTGAAAAATGTTACATTGCAAATGCTACCTCTAAAACTGAATGTATTTAGTAATTATATAATATTAAAGAAAAACTAACAGCAAATAGTTTTATATGCCAAGAGTGTCTCACAATACAGAGTATGGGTTTAACTACTCTTGGTAAGATTTTATTTTCAATCAATCAGAATAGAGCTGGAATGAACCTTGGAAGTCTTCTAGTCCAACACCCTGTTCAAGGAAACCCTATACTATTTCAGATAGGTGGCTGTGACCAGTGATGAAGCCCCTGCAACTTCTGAAGGCAAGCTGTTCCACTGGTTAATTGTCCTCACTGTTAGAAAGTTTCTCCTTAATTCCAGGTTGCTTCTCTCTTTGATTAGTTTCCATCGTTTCTTGTCTTGCCTTCTGGTGCTTTGGAAAATAAGATGACCCATCCTCCCCCTCTTCATCTCAAATACTGGAATACTGCATTATGTTCCCCCTAATCCTTCTTTTCTCTAGACTGGCAAACCCAAATCCTGCAATCGTTCTTCATATGTTTAATCTCCAAGTCTTTAATCATCTTAGTTGCTCTTCTTTGCACATTTTCCAAAGTCTCAACATCTTTTTTGTAATGTGGTGACCAAAACTAGATGCAATATTCCAGGTGTGGCCTTACTAAGGCTTTATAAAGCAGTACTAATACTTCATGTCATTTTGATTCTATGCCTGTTTATACAACCAAGGATTTTATTAGCTTTTTTGGCTGCTGCCACACACTGCTAGCTCATGTTTAAGTGATCGTCCACTAGGACTCCAAGATCCCTCTCACAGTTACTGTCTATTCTGTACCTGTGCCTTTGGTTTTTCCTGCCTAGGTGTGAAACTTTGCTTTTCTGCACATTAAATTTCATGTTATTGAATAGGGTCCGTTGTTCAAGTCTGTCAAGATCTTTTTGGATCCTGAGCTTGTCTTCTAGGGTGTTGGCTATTCCTGTCAGCTTATTTCATGAGTTCCTCTTCTATTTCCTCATCTAAGTCATTATGAAGATATTTAAGAGTAATGGCCCTAAGACTGAACCTTGTGGTATCCCGCTGCTTATTTCCCTCCATGTAGATGTAGTACCATTAAGAACTACTTGTTGAGTATGGTTTGTCAACCAGTTACAAATCCATCTGGTGGTGATGCTGTCTATCCCACATTTTTCTAGTTTATCAAGAAGTAAATTGTGGTGTATTTTGTTGAATGCCTTGCTGAAATCTAAGTATACTATGTCCACAGCATTTTGCTGGTCTACTAATTTAGTCACTTTGTCAAATAATGAAATAAGATTGGTTTGGCATGCTCTGTTTTTAACAAACCTGTGCTGGCTGCAAGTTATAACTTTATTTGTTTCTAGATGTTTCTAGATCTGTTTTTTGATGTTTTTTCCAGTATCTTCCCAGGTATTGATGTTAGGCTGATTGGTCTGTAGTTTCCTGGGTCTGTCCCCCCCATTTTTGAAAATGAGAACCACATCAGCTCTTTTCCAATCCTCTGGTAGTTTCCCAGTGCTCCAGGATTTTTTTAAAGATATGGTTTAATGGTTCTGAGATAATATCTGTCAACTCCTTCAGAACTCTGGGATGTAATCCATCAGGTCCTTGTGATTTATATTCATCAAGGTCAGACAGGTGTTCTCTTACCATTTTCTTTCTTATTTTAATTTTTATTTCTAGCTGTCTTACAGTTATGTTTTTGGTAGGCTGGGCTATAGTTTCTTTTTGTGTGAAGACTGATGCAAAGAAAGAATCAAGAAGTTCTGGTTTCTACTGCCTATTACTTCCTTGCCATCTTCTCTCTTTAGTGGACCGACTGTTTCCTTGACTTTTTTCTTGTTATTTTAAAATATTAAATGCTATGGCACATTTGTGTAATCATTTATTCTTTCCATAAAAGGAGGATATTGAAGGAAAGAGTTTTCTTTTTAAACAGAATATTGCCAGATCTAACACTTTCAACTTCAACTAGGACTTGCTGATCAAGTCTTGGAAGAGTTACATCCATACATTTAGCATCCATCTCAATTGATAAAGAGCTGAGCAACTCTTTAGTACGGTATTTTCTCCCCAAATGCATTTTACATTCTTCCCATGATTTTATTCTACAAGAAAGATTTCATTAAAGATAAAATATATAGATCATTTCTGACATCTTTAAATCATACCAAGTGGTGCAAGATAATAATGTTCAGAAGAATACATGAGTGGAGACTGTTAGCCATAAGAGAGTGCCAAAAAATATTGGCATCAGATACCATCAGTCAGTACTAAAAGTCATTCATAGAACAATAAATTGAATCACATTGAAAAAAAATCCTAAACAAGCATACGACATGGAAATAAATAAGGTTGCACATTAATAATAAAATACAATAGTATATATTATTCACTAAAATATAGATCTATCCATTATATTTAAGAAATCATTACATAAAATTCATCCACTGGTATGAATAAAACAGAACTTTATTTTTGTTTCTTAACAGAAATTAGAGACAATGAAAGAAATACTGAGTTTTTGTTCCTTAACAGAAATTAGAGATAATGAAAGAAATACTATGTTAAATGGTAATATGAAACAAATCTTTTTTCTATCCCCTAAAAGTAAATAATTCAAAGAAAACTCTAAGAGAGAATATACTTTACCACTAGCCCATGTCTTTGCAGGATGAGAGATCGAATAAATTTCAAAACAATCTCATTTCCACCCTATTCTGTTTACACATGGGAATTAGATAGAATAAAACATCTGTAAGAACCTCGTATAGTTCCATCTAGCTCTCTATCTTGCCTCAATAAAAATATTTTAAAAATGAGTAGCTTGCTCTGAGTGGACAGAAAAAAGGTTTACACCAGGGTATCATTTGATTCTAGCAGTTTCTGAGACCCTTATTCAGTTATTCTTTCCAGGACAAAGCCATTTTTCAGCAAAGATGTCTATCTAATATTAACAAAAAACAAGATATTTAAACATGATTTAGATACCAACCTTTTCTTGTAACACCATAAAGAGAGACCAATATTGGCAAAAGTGAAAATAGAAAGGTCTCCATTAAACACTGAAAGGATCTCATTATAGCTGTGTATTCTATTCTTAGAAAAATCTTCAATTACCAGGTGCCATCAATAAGAGTCAACAAAAGAATGAAAAAATAATTTAAAAAAGGAATGCATTGGAAAAACATAGCTTCTCTTTGAAATCTTATCTAGCATTGTAAGAATTATCTTCTATTTCCACAACTAACAGAGATATCAATATATTCATTATTTGCATCATCATCGAAAAGGGAAACTATAAGGTTCTGGTTAACCTTGAAATTTAAGCCTTAACTGTGAATGACTTTATGTATCACTATACTATTAAAACAATATTTCTAGATTGCCCATCATTGACTGCTATTGCTTGTGAACTATTTCCTGATGTTTTCCAAGCATTCATGTCTTACAGTCCATTTATTAGTGATATTGAGACTGAATGAACCTGCTCATCCATATCTTAGATTATTGCTAGTGCTTGAGTGAACATAACCCAGTCAACTACCTGGATCATTAGCTACTTGGATCTCATTATGGCAGAACACAGAAGCAGCTAAAACATGGTTTTTCCTCTTCTGTATTTTCTATTTTGAAGAAACAGTTCAAAGTCATAATGAATATATAGGGGCTTTTTTCTGATTTCTCTTCCTAGTTAAAACTGCAGACTATATCACTTCTTTAGCTTAAGTGATAAAATTAGCATACAGATGTGACATTGCAGTTTAAGTGTTTCATGGCACCTTGAAAAGAGAAAGAGAGCTTCTGGGAGAGGAGTTAAGACCCCTTTTATCACAAGTTAGTCTGCAATTATTCTATTGAACCATTGGCAAAACTTAATTATACTGACGGAGAACAATTTTATATTTCCTTATCATCAGTTTTATTTCAAGAAGGAGTAAATGTGTAAACTTTCAATTTAGATGCTGTGAAGTAGTTGGTCTAAGTTTTGAACTTTTAATTAACAGAAATTAAAATGTGTTGAAACAATGTGGAATGTTGCCCCATTTTTGGAGATACAAATGATTCCTTATTGCAACATAGCACACTCAGTTTTTGAAGACTTTAAATAAACTAACCTGTTTGATGAAGGTGATCTCTTGCTAGTTCAAATAAGCGCATGTGCATATTTGTTATGGGATTAAAGGAGCCACAGGCAAGAAGAATGAGGGGTGTCAGATGTTTCATTGAACCAACTAATTTTCAATAGCATACCATTCATCTGAAAGGATAAAATAACAATTGTAACAATTAATTCAGGTTTCTCAATTATTTCTGAAAATAATAAATAATTAATAACCTGACTTCCAGGGAAAGAAGATTCCATAAGGCTGGCACCATGGCAGAAAAGAACCCCCTCCTGGGATCTGCCAGTTGCAATTGCTTAACAGATAAGGTTCACAATTATCAGCACCATGATGTCAAAATAATTCAGAAGAATGATAACAGGTTCAGAGAACGACAACAAAGATGGACAGATGACTAGTGTGAAACAACTGGGTATGTTTAGAGTTAAGAAGAAAACAAAGATGTATTAGACGTAATAACCATTCTTCAAATACCTAGAAAGATGTCATACAGAAGAAAGTCAAGATCTTTTCCTTATTTTTCCATAGTGCAGGACAAAGAATTATGAAAAGTTATAGGAAGGGAGATTTCAATTAAATGTTAGGGGAAAAAATTAACAACAGATTCAATAATGGTACAAATTACTCAGGCAGGCAAATGAATTCACATGGAGGTTGATTTTTTAAAATTTGTGCACTGTGCAGGCAGTTGGATTTGATTCTCTAAATGTACTTGGTCAATTATATGATTCTGCACAGTTGCACAGATAATTGGTACCTGAAACAAACTCAGATAAGGATTCGAAGAACTGTTCCATTCCCCCATAGTTTTCTATCTGCATTTCATCTTTTTCAGCCTGCCATGTCTATCAAGTTCAATTAATTCTCCTTGACCTTTTTGTCCCATTCCTTTAGGCGTTAATTTTAATGCTATTTTGCATTTCCAGAAACTTTTGTTTTTTTTTAAATCAAGCCTGATGTTAATTCTTCTCTTAGTAGATGGTGAAGCTTTGGCTACAGAAATAGCATATTCTGAACATTGGAAATAGTAGGAACACTTGAAATAGACTGATATAACCCATTTAAGTTATGTCCATCTATATACCCAAAAGACTTCTACATAAAATTCTGTCAATCTATAAGACTGAATAATAGAATAACAAAGACAAAAGCAAGGGTGGAGAGAGATACTTTTCAGGTCTCAGGGAAATCTAACACAAGGAAAACCTCTTCTGTAACTAGCTTTCCACAAGTTAAAATAGAATTTCTTCGTTTAAAGACAAGACTGGATTATTTATTTTCTTCTGAGAATGTTTCCTTAACTATGCTAAAGAATACAAAAGAAAAATATATCATTTTCTTTCACCTCAAGCCCAGAATACAAAATTGTTTCTGTTATTCTGCAACTGTTAGTATGGCACTGATTCTTCTCAAACAGAAAAGAAAAAAAGAAATATCCCTAGAATCCTCAGATGAACAAATTATTGGGTGTTTTTCATCGGTCTTCATATTCAGAAAGCAGTTTGCTGCTACATGGCTTAGAGGTTGCTGCTTATTCTGATAGTGACATCTCTTTATAAGTAATTATTTTTCCAATTTCCATCATAAAAAAATCTATTAAATTTGGGACCTTTAAATATAAACTAATCTACAGAAAATCCATTGTATTTTAAATAAAGACACTGAAGTAGAACATTAGATCAAAGAAAGAATCACAGTTGTAAGGATTATTGCTTTAAAGAAATACTTTAGAAATATAACTTTTTCTTTGGTAGTTATAATGTGATAATGTGCGTACAACAATGAAGAAAGCAAAAGAAAGCCTATGGCTAAAAATACTCATTTCTGCTCAGTAAGTATGTCAAATTAAGCATCCACATGGCTCCAGAAATCCTATACTGCAATATCACAAGCTGAGCATACTGTTCACAAAATTTCCAGCTATATTGCTGCTATTCATTTTGCATGATCTTGCATATCTAGTCTTCATTTTATTTGAATTTAAGTGCAAATGACATGAAATCAGTTTTGTCTTGTCCCAGTTTACTATTTTTAGATTGCAACCCCAAAATTCCAGTGCAGTCCTTGGGTGCATCCTCTCCCAGCTAAACTATTCTTACATACAATTACATACAATTAGAGAGTTAAATTGTAGATTGGCAGACCCAGAAACTAACTATTTTAGAGATTATACATCAATGTTTTGGACCAATTCAATAGTTAGAGAATAACTGGTTTTATTTATTTGGATCATTCAGGGGTAGAAGTCCATCCTTGGTTTTAGGCCCATTCATATAAGACCTTTTCACTTTAGTGCTAACTTTTTATTTAAGTTTAAAGCACTGTCTTAACATATAAAACCCTCTAGAAGTTAAACAGGGTTTAACAGACAAGGAAAGCTTAAGGTTTTTTGAGTTATATTCCTTAACATATAGCTCAGTAGTAATTGCCATTTTGTGCCACATATTGTCAAATATTTTTTCTCTTCATGAACTTTGTATATTCTATAATTGATTTACTGCTGTTGAATCAACTTGCATTAAATAAACCTGGGTAAAACAATACATTGACAACAGAGTGTTGTTGGTTTTTTACTTTTGTACAGTTATGTAACGTTAATGCCAGGAGCCCTTCAAATGTAACAGTATTTTTCCAAAGACCATACCTAGACACTTGCCCACCCCTTAGGTGGTCACAAAGCAATAATAAACAACGAGAAGTTTTGGTCAGAAACCTAAATTAAGAAATATTCAACATTGTTCTATTTTTTTTTCTCCAATTCTAATCTGCAAAATAAGTTAAGTTTCATAGAACTGTTACTCAAGGAAAGTCTTACATAGTTTGAGCAATGTAATCATACTGGATACCAACTAATTCTGTTTTATTCCTCTAAAATCTGCTAATCTACCCAGAAATATATGTAAAACTGGTTAAGCTCACATCAGTCATTTCTAATCATAGTCTATGTCTTAAGGGATACTTCTCCACAACATATAAACAGCAAAATGGTGAATATTCATGTTCATTTTTCATCTTCCACAATATGACAATTGCATGGAAGAATATCCAGAAAAAAACGGAATTCTTAAAAGCAGGGACAGGATAAACCAAGAAGAGGAAAAGTATTCCTGTAGCAAGATAATTTCCCTGTGTGGCAAAACCAGACTTAGAGTCATGTAAACATCAAGAAGCGTCAGGCCTAATGGAAACACTTGAATGCAGGCATATCTGCTATAGCTGAAAACATATTAAAGAACAGAGGTGTTAAGCTGTGACATTGGACATTGCTGGATCCGCTTTTGCACAGTATGGCCTGTGCGTAGGTGATGGAGTCTATCGCTGAAGAACCAATGGGAATAAGCAAAACCATGGGTGAGGTTTGCTCAAAGATTAGCTGGAAGAAAGTAGGACTGCTTTTAGAGAATATCACTAAGAATAGCCAACAAAAAGTCTGGAATCTAGAACAGAATTATTTTTTCTTCTTCCCATCCCCACCTTCCCCAGTCAGGATACAAGTCATCCCTGAAATGAAAGTACTAATGTTCTGTGATTAAGAGACTCTAAAAAGGATCCATTTGGAATTGTCTGTGTAGAATTGCATGTGTATAATTTGTTAAACCAATGTCATTTTATCTACTGGGAATATGCATAAATTACATATCTAAAACATCACAATAGTAAACACTATAATTTAGAGAAAAACAATCTGCAAGTTTGTGTCCCTTTTTAAAAACCTCTTACAAATACAAAGTTTGATCAATATGGAAATTATAATTCAGCTATAATATTTTAAACATTCAGATAGAATGTATTTATGAATTCAGACATGTGTTTATGTCCAAGTTCTATTTCCCAAATTTGTTACAAAATTTTAAAATTCACTTTTTCAAAATCAGATATGTAGACTTAGTTGGGTGTTAACATTAATAGATCAAAATGATACGGATGGTTAAATCAAAATCTTTTCAGAGTGGACATTAAAAGTTTAAAAAGTTTTCTGTGTTAAACTGCAAATTGTGTTTTTTATCATTTCTATCGTGGGAGTTGGGCAAATGGGCATATATAAGTAAATACTGCTAAAATGTGATTATATGTTCAAAGCTCTGATAATTATTTTTCAGTTGCAGACAGACCAATGGCCTTTTTGTATTTTTAATAAAAAGCAGCGGTTTTAATCAGTAAATGGTAATAGGTCATCCATGGGCATAACTCATAATAATCAACTTACACTCTATTTTTCTATCATTAATATTAAAGGTCCAAGAGGTTAATTGAGAAAGGAATTATCTGTAGAACAGTCTAGATTGCTTCCAGTTTAGCATTGTATGATTATCTGACAATGTTAGTTCAAACTTAACACTCCAAAAATATATTTAAAGCAAATACTCCAAACTCAAGAGTTTCATCTCTATATTTAATTGTAAAATTACTTTAATTTTAACTTGGGGGGGGGGGAAATAGCAAATTTAAATTATTTTGGGGGGGGATATTTGATCAAAACTGCCAGATCTGCCATCACATTACTTCAGCTCTGCTTTGCTATGGAGGGAGGAGAAAGTAGGGTAATGTTAGGAGCGGACATTAAAAGTTTTTAAAAGTTTTCTATGTTAAACTGCAAATTGTGTTTTTTTATCATTTTTATTGTGGGAGTTGGGCAAATGGGCATATATAAGGAATCAGAGGTGCCAACCCAAGATAAGAGACAATGGTTGAAAGATCCAATGACTTAGGCGTGAGAATGGAATGCGAACGGCCTCCAAAGAGGGGCCAAATTTTAGAACTCTTACCAAAACACCTAGTTTGAATACTATTGTGACATTAATGAAATGATCAAGAGGGGAGGACCCAGGAGAAGGGAAAATCACTGGGTGTACGCAGGAATATTCAGCTCTGGCTTTGCTTACGCTTTAACCACTTTGCTTTAGTAAAAGTATACCTTTCGCTACAAATGGAGTCGAGGGTCTTTCTTTCCTAAAAGCCCAAGTTGGGATAGGCCTGACATAAGCCCAGTTGCATCTTGCTTTTAGATTCTCCCATCTTCACCAAAGATTTCAAAACTTATGCTGCAAGAGTGGACTAGTAGAGATAGCAAGCTTTCTTATTTTAGAATGGCATCTTATCTGGCTCGGGAGAAAATGCAAGTCACAACAGAAAGAGTTATTTTCCACCAGCTATTTCTGCCACAATGAACACACTGGGATCTGCTTTGAGTATTCTTTTAAGAATCCTATTCCAAACACTTCTCTCATTATTTTTACATGTACTTTTCACTATTCCTCTGAAAATAATAATAGGCACACGGATGTGATTGACATTCAACTGTTTTTGTGTTTATATCAATTGTTAACAAACTAAATACCAATCAGAATGTAATTAAACATTTAACTTTAATTTAAAAAAAACCACCAGATGCAATACTGATTTGGTATACATTATTACATTACCTCAGAGGCTTAATCAAGCAAATTAAGCTCCTAGGTACCGTTAGAAAATATTAAGAAATAACAAAGTGATATTTCCACTTTATCATGTTAACTAATTTTGACATAGGCATAGTATTTCATAGTATATACACTATATAGATGGACACTTTAAAAGCTTTTTGGCAGATCCTTTCCTTTAAGGGTTCTCCTATAAAATGTACCTACAGTAAGTCAGATTGAATCTACTGACAACCTGTCTTTCTAGTAGGATTTCTGAACCCATTTAGTAACAATTTCTCCCTCCGGTTAGTCCTGGAAAAACAGAAGGGAAAATACTTTAGATCTTTCTACCTCAAGCCCAGTAATACAGACCATAGCAAAGTTTGGCTAATTTTAAAGAAAAAAAGAAAGATAATTATGCAATCACAGTCTTGCATGTGGGTGATATTTAATGGGCACTATCCTTGTGAACAAGGCACTACATTCTTAGATAAAAAGAGTTTATTATTTCTTAGTTTGCCATAGAACCTACCTAGGACGCAAGCATATAATTAATAACAAGGATGGACACATCTAGATATACTCAGTGAATCTTAATTTTCAGTAGTTAGGCATAAGAGATCAATACTCAGAAAAAGCAAATAATTACACTCAATAACAATTTGAAGATGATCTCTTAGATTTTCAAAATCTCTGGACAAAACCCCCAAATTTATAAATAACTATTTGCAACATATTTCATACTAAAATCTTTTGATGTTCTTTGCCCTAACTGCAAATTCTTCTTTTCCTGTTATAATTATTTATAATTTCCACTTCATGGTGAGCATAAATTAGCTAGGGCTGAACCATGAATTCCATCAGTAATCCAACACCTGCAGAGAAAAGAAATTATTGAATGCAACATATTAATGTAAGGCGTCTATAGCAGCAGGAGAGACAAAATCTAAATTTTGTTTTATAATACTATTCAGTGGCAAACAACACTTTACACATCAATGCAGTACAGCCCCTGTGATGATTTATATGAGTGTGTGTTAGATAGAGTTAATGTGAATTTTAAATAAAAAGGAGCTGGGAAGGCTTAAGCTTTTCTTTACTCACAGTTTTTATCTTCCAAATTCTGACTGTAATTCTTCTCTACTTTGCAATATTCCAGAAACAGACATCTAGAATAAATAATGTGGGATATAATAATTAGAAAATTATAGGAGGAGGATAACTGGTTCAGAAAATCTCAAGTTCCTCTTCCCATAAAGATGGGCTACATCAATCTATTTTTCATCACTGTAATTGAAATGTTATCCCATTCTGGAACTAAGCAAGGAAGATCCAAATATCTTATTATAGTAAAATAGAACTATGAAATAAAACAAGCAGGACTCAGTTCGGGAATATACTTTCTACTAAAAAAGGTAGACTAAATACTGGAAATAGTCTATATTTTAGACATAGGCCAGTTGTTTCAACTTAATAATTTTAAGTTGTATGGTCTTCAACTTTCAGAATTCCCCAGCCAGCATGCTGGCTGGGTAATTCTGGGAGCCGAGTCTACGGTTAAAAAGGTTGATAAACACTGCTTTAAACTGATTTTAATTACTGAAAATCTTAGGTGGTTTATAAAGAACAAACATCTGTCAGAGGACTGAACTACCTTGCAGTTTGGGTAATTCCTATGTATGTAGTTATACTGCAGTTTAAAGCTGATATGGGGATATGGGGAAAATATTTCCACTTTTGAGTTTAACAGGACTGCTGGATGGCTAGACTGGAAAGTCAATATAACATTTCTACCCAACTGATGGATAAATCCAAGCGTGGATATATCTGATGAGTATTCTGTCCAGGAGAAACCTGATCCATGAATGACAGGAGACAAAAGCCAGAAGCATCAGATGGGATCTGTACAAAATGGTTGCATTTGAAAGGGGCTAACTAGGAGTGGGACACACTGGTTATGAGCATGTTGGACAGGATTTTATCTCAAAGCCAGCAGTCTGAAAATTAAAAATGAAATTTAGCCTTAGATTGAGAGATGTACAGGTAATGTCTTGACAACGATCTTTCAGTTATGATAGTGATGAAAAAGGTGCACATATACAAGCTATGCAGCATCTCTTTCTCTCTCTGTCAGATGTTCACCCTTGCAGTCAGTTTAGTACAGGGGTGTCAAGCTGCCGGCCTGTGGGCAGGATGCGTCAAGCCAAAACTGCACCCACCCCACTGCTGGCAATGGGAAAAAAGTCACGATACGTTGCGACACGTCACGTGACGTCACGAGTTTGACACCCGTGGTTTAGAATATGTTCTGTTTGACCTGTTTGCCCACCCCTTGCAGAGGGTAAGGGTTAAGCAAGCCATCTCTTTCTGAGCTGCTTTCTTGGCAGTGTAGCACATTCCTAAAAGGTTCTAACCATAAGTTAACAAGCTCAGCTCTGTGACGTTAAGTAATTGATTAGAAACCTAGGGCTGGCTCATAATGCTGCTGACACTGACAAGACCCTAATCAGTTCCACATCAAAGGCTTTTGCTTGCATCCTAAAAGGCTTCCAGGAAGCACACTAGGCAAATAGTGGCCATTTGCACATTCTTCCTTTCAATGCATATTCCCTATTGTATACCCACTTATTCTCTTGTAATCCTTTCTTTTCCAATGAATGTAAATACAAACATCAATTATCTTCTTGTTAATTATCTCAGCACCAGGGTGAGCATTCCAAAGGAGTGATGAAAAAGTGCTGCAAGATTTGCCCCTTTACCTGGATTCCTCATGAGTAAAGTTCTGGAAATCTTCCCTGCTATTTGGTTCATGTGGCTGTTTGGGATATTAAAGCAAAGGAAAGCTGAAATAAAATCATAAGCACTTTGTGGTCATGTGATTTTTCACTTAGTGACCACTTTTCTAATTGAATTACCATGATCCCTAAACAAGGACAACCTGTAGATGATAAGAAAATCTAAAATGATTCAGAAACATGACAAAGGAATCTTCCTGGGACTACAGGGAATCTATATAAATTCCTAACAATAAAAAAAATCTTTGCAAAGGATGCAGAGGATGCACCTGCTCTCCAAAGGATGCAAAGGATGCACCTGCTCTCCAAAGACATGCAAAGAAGAAACAATGTCTTGATTAAACAAATGTATAAAAATAAGTAATTTTGCAACTATGTGTTATTAAGTATGTTGAAAAACATTTAGTATTTGTTTTCGGAACTAACTGTATGTTGTGAAGATTCTTCCAAATATGGGAAATATCTTTGCAAGTCAACAGTACTATAGTACGTTTTAAGGCAAATATGGGCTCATATACAATATATCTCAATGAAAAATGAGCCAGTTTGGTTCAGTGGTTAAGCCACCAACCTAGAAATCAGGACATTATGAGTTCTAGTCCTGCCTTAGACATGACAGACAGCTGGGTGATTTGGAGCTGATCACTCTCTAGTCAACCCACCTCACAGGGTTGTTGTCGTGGGGCAAATAGGAGGAAGGAGTGTTAGATATGCTCACTGCCTTAATTTATTTATAAAAATAATAAATGTGGGATAAAAAGTTCTTAAATAATAATGATTATGGAAGAATAAAATCTGGTCTGCGTACCTTTGCTCTGCACTTTCCCAATATATATCCTTTCATCAAAGATTCCCATGCCGGCACAATTAACAAGCTAACCCACTGTTTAGTTCTTGCATTCACATGTTATCTAAGGGACTGGTTTGAACAAAACTCAGCAGCACTTTTTCGTGCAGCTGCTGATAAAAACAGGATCGCCAACATGATCGCCAACGTCCGATAACGGATATGGCACAAGAAGAAAAAGATTCACATGTTACCTTCTCTTTAGAAGGGAATAGAAATAGAATTATTCCAATCATCAAGGCCAGATGCAGAATCCACACGAGTTAAACAAAACATATTGTCCCATCAATTTTTAACATTTTCTGAGTCACACCATGTAAACTTGCAGCTTTGCCATTTTTTAAATAATCTATTTCCTGTTATTTAATTATTTATTCATTCATTAAAAAGCTCAATATATAGCATGTACTCTTCTACATCTCCTTCAGATACTTCCAGTACTTTTCCATCACCGCAAAAGAAAAGCAGTTGAAGCTAATGTTACTAATAAAATGGCTTTTTTCATATCTTATATCTCTAGTACAACAAACATAACATGGCAACCAGCCAAGAGTGCCATTATATAAAATTAATGATATAAAAACCCATGGTATGTTAAAAGAATTCAGATAGTTTAGAAATACTGCATATTATAATCACTTACTTTGCAGGTTAAAATGATAGTGATTTTTCAGCATGTACAACAATAATATTACACGGAGTGCAAGAAAACTTATGATCAATGGATCTGTAGCTTTTAGCTAAGAAGGGTAGTAATTCTGATATTATCAATATTTAGTACTGTACAAGCAATATTTTCCTTACCACCAAGTCAGAATTCTCAGTGATTAAGTATTATTTTACATTCCTAATGCACTTTTATCTTCATGGTAAACCAGTTTAGCAGGCAGAATAGATGAGAATCACTAGTAGAATGGCCCTAATATTCTTAATAAATGCCAGAGTGTCTACTTCTATGTCAGATTAAATCAAGTAAAAAATCCAGGTTTTGCATGGAGGACTGACAGACAGATATGTTTGTATTCTGACTGGTATGAGCAGAATCAATTAAATGGATAGGGAGAGAACCATTTTCAGTAACTAAAGCATTTTCAGTAACTAAAGATTGTATTTTAAAATATTAAATAATTTTCAATTTCCTTTAAAAAAAGGCTTGGTGCAGAAAAGGATTCAGATCATTTTTATGCATTTAAATATTTGTTCCCACTTTCGAAGCAGTGATAAGGCTAACTTTCAGCCTACATTTTTACCCTCCACACAGAAATACTCTTTTTTTTTAGCCTTTCTAGAATCACTGGGTTAAGATTTTAAGAACTAAGGTGTTTCCTGTTCTGCAGTATCAAACTACATCTACAAACTCTTTTAATTCTGCACAAACATAAATTCTAGAGCTCAAGATCTTATAAAAATTTCACTAGCTTAAACATGGAAAGAGCTAGCAGATATCTTTAAGACATAACTTGTATAAAACGTTTATATTTCATTCTTTCCTGTTTTTATTTTAGTGAAAACCCTAAAGGTAGCATATGCTTCACAGAATGGATGATATTAATTCAATAGATAATATTTCAGTGACTTATAAATGTAAACATGTGTAAAACAATATAGAAGCTTGGTTAACATCACAGATAGCATTGAGATATTAAATAACTTCAATAATGACAATCTCCACTTTGCTTTGTATTTTGTACTAAAGATTGGTACTAACAATCTGCAGTAAGGTCTGGTGTGCACAGATATCAAAAATATATAATTAAAAATCAGTTAAAATAAACAGCAAATGTGTTATCAGCTTGAATCGACTGGGCTCTAAATTTTATCTGAAGTCACCTCTCTTATCCTTGAGAAGTCCTTGTAAAAGTCATTAATCCAGATGAGAAAAGCCATTTTTTAAAATCACAGTGGCGTATTATGGCCACTGAAGTGCCGGGCCTTTAACAGCCGTTAACCCCATACCAGGGGTAGGCAACCTCGGCTCTTTTATGACTCATGGACTTCAACTCCCAGAATTCCTGAGTCAGCATAGCTGACTCAGGAATTCTGGGAGTTGAAGTCCATGAGTCATAAAAGAGCCGAGGTTGCCTACCCCTGCCCCATACCTTTATGAAACCGTTTCTTCTTCAGATTGCCTCTTAATCCCAGAAGTCAGCAAAGTTGTTCGTTTTAAATGTTCTCTTTTTGGTCTAAACTGAAACCCTGTCACTTTCCCGGGCTGCCTCTGACCTAAAGGGAGAGAGCTTTAAGTTTAAAAGGTCAAGTGGAAATCCAAGCCGGTGCGGGCCCTCGGGATCAGGGGAAAAGGCTTGTCCCTGATGCTGATCGGTTTATTTTCACTTTTGAAGAACAGCCCTTCCTAGTCTCCGCTTACATAACGCAGGGAAAGCACGATCACAAACCCGCTTTCCGAAGCCTCCTTGCGACGAACATCCCGCGCCCCCTTCGACTCCGCACCCTGCATCGCCCAAGCGGGAGATAAGATTCGAACCGACTTGTCCTCCCTTACCAGCCAGCGTCAACGTCACGAACCTCCGCCGAGTCTTTTCACCTTCCCGAACTTGAACATAGTTCTGCCCCTCGAGGGGGTGGTGCTGCTCCCGGACAGGCAAGGCGGGGTGGAGTTGGCGTGAGTCGAGCCAGAGAGCAGAATTTTTGAACGTAAACAAACATAAACTTAATTGGGTCTTTCGCATGGTTAACATAACCTATTTTCCGCGCTTCTGATTTCTGCGTTCAGCGCGGAGTGCAGAAATTGTTTCTAAATTCTGTAGTACGCGCTGATTCCGCTGTAGCCAGTACTTTTTTTTCCAAACAAGAGAAATATAACACAAAAGAGCCAAGGTTGCCTACCCCTGGTTTATACAGTCAGGATGATGTCTAACCTGAACTTATTTTCTTATAAGTCTTAATCCAATGGTTCTGCTCTCTGAGGCAATAGAGGTTAAGTCTACTCCATCTTCTGAGTCAAATATATTTGCACATTGCTATATTATCTCCCCTCCGTCAGTCTTCTGAAAGCTAAACATACTCAAATCGTTTAGCTGTTTTATTCGGTAGTCCTCTTCTGAACTCAATTTTGACTTTCTTCAATATCTTGCTCCAATTTGTTATTGCCTTTTGAAAACTGGGGTACTCAAGAGCTGCAGGCTCCAAATGGGGTATGAACAGCAGAGTGGAGTGAACTAATTCTTGTAATTGGATTCTGGGTTCCTGTTGATGAAGGCAAGATAGTATTTGACTTTTTAGTGCCTAAATCATAGGACTGGTTTAACTTTCACACATACTATTTCCCAGTCAGGTTTCTCCCTCCCTGTACTTTTCCCTTTCATTTTCCCTACCATTACATTTCTCCTTGTTAAATTCTATCCTATTCATTTCAGCTCATTGCTCAAGGTTATCTAGATCTCCTTTAACATAATAGCATTAGATCTTCAGTCAGTTTAGTGTCATCTGCAATTTGATAAGTAACTTCTCAGCTCTCTCATCCAAATTATTGATAAAAGTATTGAATAATGTGAAACCTGGGAGAAGCCCTGATACTTTCCTCCAAGCTGCATGAATATGGAAACTAATCAAGGAGAGAAGCAACCTAGAACTAAGGAGAAACTTCCTGATAGTTATAACAATTAACCAGTGGAACAACCTGCCTCCAGAAGCGGTGAATGCTCCAACATTGGAAGTTTTTAAGAAGAGACTGGACAGCCATTTGTCTGAAATGGTATAGGGTTTCCTGCCTGAGCAGGGGGCTGGACTCGATGACCTCCAAGGTCCCTTCCAACTTTATTATTATTATTATTATTATTATTATTATTATTATTATTATTATTATTATTATTATTATTATTATTGTTGTTGTTGTTGTTGTTGTTGTTATTATTATTATTATTATTATTATTATTATTATTAATATCTTTAAAGACCATTCAGCCAACTATGAATCCAACTAATAGTTATATCCCTAACTTACACTTTCCTATTTTGTTAAAGAGAATCTGGACATATAGAATACAAAATAAAGCCATTGGTAGGGACCTATTCAAGCAGGAACCCTATATCATTCCAGACGAATGGCTGTCCAACAAAATGAGTGCCAGGACACAATATTCTCTCCTTGGAATGTTGTGTCTACAATAGTTTGGGCACATTTTAGGAAGAACGTGGATTAATTATAGTGTGGCCAAATGAGAACAATCAAAATGATAAAGGTTTACATTATCATGAAGCCATAGACTTAAATTACAAAGAAGCAGATTTTAATTCTACATAAGAAAGAATGTTCTACCAATACATGTTCAAATGGAACAAGTTGTCTCAGGAACTGGTGGACTCACCTTTCTGAAAATATTTAAACAGAGGCTGAAAAGACATCTCTTGGGGTTGCTAAAGTATTAGATTTCTACACTGAGTAGAGGACTAAAGTTTTTATTTATTTATGGAATGTATTTTTATGTTGCTGCAATCCAAAAAGACTTTTGGCAGCTTTCTCTGAACAGATACAGATTAAAATATCCATGGCAGGAATAAAGCCACTACAAACAGAATAAAAATAAAAACCATACAATCTAAATTATAAATAACCTAAATAGAAATAAAGATGGCAACATTCACATTAGGGGAAAGCTCTCCCAAGCAATTACATTTTGAAAATTTCTAAAAGACCAAAAGGAGAGGGCCATGCTGATCTCTTCAATGTTTTCTTGCGTCAGCCCGTGAAATCTGAAAATATGGAATTTACAGCTGTTTCTCCCTGATAGATCTAAATAGTCAGGCTATGGAATGGTATGTGGGAATAATCTTGAAGGATGAGGGAAACAAATGCTGCCCAGAAAATGATTAGACAAGAGAAAGAAGAGCTCCCAGTGGCTTAACAGTCAGAGAAAGAAACTTAGGAAAGACCCACCCTAATTGACCAGGCTGTCAAAAGTGACAGTGGGAGATTTTTACTTTTAGACTTGAAAAATTCTGTTAATGTAGCCTTAGAATAAAGTAATATTAGTTCATCTGGTTGCCTTTCCTGTGTTGTTAACCTGGGGAAGGTTGACAGGCTAATGTTGATGGGAAAAGAACTTTTTATCACCTTAAATTGGAGCCAGAAACCAGTTGGCAACAAATGTAGGGTCTGCAAAACTGGTCAAAAAGTTCCTCCTGTTGGGAGCCCGAAAGAATGCCGACCACTGCATTTTAGATCAGCTGTAGTTTCTGTATGCTCCTTAAGGATAGCCCCAAACTCTTCAAGGATAGCCCAAGAAGAGGGCACTAGTTTAACCTGGTGGTGATAACTATAACAAAGTTCTCCTTCCCCAGGTAACTCTACAGTTGATGCACCAGCTGAGGATGGACTTGGGTACCTGTGTTGCAAGAGTAGCCATGAGTTCAGAAGCACTCCCAAGTTGCAGACTTTCTCCCTGATGGGTAGAGCCTGCCTATCAAGGAATACCTCTGACAACAACAGAGGATGCCAACACATGAACAGCAGCTTTGTCTTTCTACGGTTCAACTTCAATTTGTTATCTCCCAATCAGATCATGACAGCCTCCAGACAGCATCTTATTCATGGCCTGGAGTAGCAATGGGCAATATTAGCATATTGATGATAGCACATGTTGAACTATTGAATGAACTGTCTTAGTAACTTTGTATGGATATTCAGAAACCGAAAAAAGAGTACTCACGCCTGTGGCACCCTTCATGACAGGGGTCACTAGGCTCACTTCTTTTACCCCACCATTGGAACTGCCCATTAAGAAAGGAGTGAAACCATTGTGAAATAACATCTACTAACCCTTGCAGGTCATCCAAGTGATACTGTGGTTGATGGTATCAAAAGCTACTAATAAGACAAGGAAGTACACATGTCTCCATACAGGACATAACATAAATTATCTGGAAGAATGACCAATGCTGTCTCCTGATCAAAGCCCTGAGTAAAATCTACTTTCTCTGGGTGTTGCAAGGTTGATCCACCACCACTATCTCAACAATCTTTCCCGAAAAGGGAAGATCAAGAGTGATCACTAGCTTTCTAACAACACTGGGTCCAAAGATGCCCTCTTTAGGAATGGAATGTTGGAACCACAACAGCCTCTTACCACCTCTTTCTAGAAACTTCCTGTCCTCCAATAAGGCAATAACAATTTTATGGAAAACACCCCTCCCAAAGTTCCCATACACATTAGAAGAACCATGGAATCCAGTTGGCGTTGCAAGAGGATAATTGAGATAGCATTCTATCCATTTTATCAAAATATTCTCATCCCAATGAAGTTGGCCATCCCATACTAACTATTACTGTTCCACAAGGACCTAACCATTAACTCCAATCTCCCTCTCCCTCCCTCTCCCTCTCCCTCCTTTCCTCTCTCTCTCACTCTCTCTCTCTCCCCTTGAGCTATTCCTTCAACAAAAATATCTATGTGTGAAACCTTCCCCCCACAACTGAAACCCTCCCATTAGCCCCAGAAGACAGTGAGAGCCTATCCTAGTCTGTCTTTCATGATAGATAAGGTCTTCAAACCACCCTACCTCACTTTCTATAAAAAGAGAGAAAAGGTAAACCAACTAGAATAGATGAAGCCTTTCCAATATTAATATTCTCTGGACATTACCAGTTACTCTGTAATATATTCCCCTCTTGCTGACTTGTTCTTTAACAGTAGCAATGCTAATAGCACTGAGAAAAATCTTTTGATTTGGTTTTGCTGTCCTTGGCAGGGCTGTTAATAGGCAGAAAGACAAAATGGAAGCAATGCTCTTGAAATCCAAGATCATCGAAATCAATTAAAGTTTAGCTATTAACTTCATGGGCTCCTTGCCTTTGTTGAAAGACATATATTTTCTGTCTCTCTGTGAACAGCAGGAGACATAACATCAATTTTAATTTTATTAATCCACAATTAAAAAGCACAAAGGGGTGGTTTAATGACATCTAAAAAAAAATAGCTTTCCGGTTGGCATCTAAATAATTTCTTTTCTTTTAATAAGTTCATTACTATTTAGCTGCCACTTAATTTCAGTTTTACTACTTTTTGAAGGGAGGTGTCTGAATACTTTATTACAGTTCTGCTACATTTCTGTTGTTAATGTGATTAATCACAGACAGTATTTCAAACCATCATGGTTTAGGAAAACATACAAATAGAAATTCTCAGAAAACAAATGAAGAGACCATATACAAGAGTGTCTTAAATCAATAATAAACCCAAAAATTAAGTCAGCACCACCTCTGTTATGATTAAGTTGCTTTAAAAACTAATTCAAACTTTTAAAGCTCTCCAAAACAAAATGTGAATTAATACAAAGCAGATGTTATTGTAAATGAGTGTTGACCTTTTATAAAATATTTAAACCTATACAGAAATAAAGACACACTGAAATTGTTGAAGTAACGGTTCAGATAATATTGGTTTGAAAACAAGCTAGATTAATGTAATTTCATTGCTTTTTTAGTCAAGATAAATATACAGTGATCTTTTTTCTAAATTATAATATTTTTTTCTGATAATTTATGTTGATTTG